ACCTTAGTTTTGAAACTGACATCATTGCTACTCAGTACTTTGGAGAAGTCCCTGACACTGACTATGTCTTTTGGTTTCCTGACTGCTAGTGCAAAGGGTATTGACTGTGGATCCAAGTTAAGATGAAATTATTGATATGTTTGGAAAGGTGAAGGGTCAGAGAAAGAGAGGAAGGCTACCAATTAGATAGATTGACACAGTGACTACAGCAGTGGGCTCAAGAACCTCAGAAACGGTTAGGTTGGCACAGGATAGGGCTGGGTTCAGGTCTATTGTTTCTCAGATCACTATAAGTCATTCTCAACTTGACAACACATAACAAAAACATTATCAAGACACCTAGAATGTTATAAATGTTTTTGCTTTTTATCTGTCTAAGTTTAGGTCTTAAATACACACCTGGAGTGTTTTTCCTAGCGCATTTTAACTATAATTGACTTAGGAACTTTTATTTCAAGTGAATATTAAAATAATCTTTTCTATGTGTCCCTAAATCATCAATTAGATATATTTTTCTTGGATAAAGATGAGTACTTATAGAAGACCAAGCCAATGAGTATACATTTTCACCTGTACTATGATGCTGACCATATAAGCCAGTCTCTAACTTTGAGTTTAAGTTCTTAATGTAATTGGGTGGTACCTCGTGAGTGAATATCTGACAAGACAGTATTCTGGTTGTTGAAGTTTGGATTGGAGGGAATAGTGACTCCTCTTGATATTCTCTGTATGAGTGTCTAGTTTGTGAATGAAGTTTAGACCCTTATAGGATTGGTTTTTTTAATCTGTGTTCCAAAGAACACTTTACACTTTGGTGACTTTTCTCTTCTTCCGGAATGGCACTTCTGTCAATTTTCATGGTGCCAATAATCATGTGAAATTTGCTTTAATTTGTCTAGCCTTGCACAGTCTATGAAGTGATAATGACCTGAGTGCTCGCGAAATATATTTTATTCGTGGCAGAAAATATAATTATAGATTTTACTCAGACATATTAATAATGTAAGAGGCTTTGTAATGTAGAATGAATGAACTACATGAGGACAAATGATATTAATTTAGCATTGAGCTTTAAGGCATTTGATAACTTCTGCATCTTACTGGAAAACCAATCTACATCTCGCAGAGCGTCCTGATCAAGAATGTGAAAACTCTAACAGCATTTATCTCGCTCCACATTCTGTTCAGTAGTTCTTTCAAAGCCTGCAAGAGATAAGTGGAAATCCTATTTGTAACAACTGCTCCTATCTTTACTGTCCTCCCATTCTGTAGAACAGACCTCGCAGATGGGCAAAAACTGTCAGGAAGCAGGAGTTACTGTATCTATAGCTGCAGAAGTGGCTTGCCTTGAGCTAACTTTTCATAAACTTGCAGGTTAAAGAACATTATTTCCTATAATTTTGTGAGTATAAGCAATTTTCCTGTTCTTTTAAGACACGGAAGAAGAAAATTCCTTTATTCAATCAGTCAGGGTAGGCTAAGTTGTCCTGCTGTAACAAATACTGTCAACTTGCGTTCTCTGGGAAATGCTGAGTCAGAGTTTGGTGTTGAGTAACATCTAGGGAAAGAAGGGCGAGAGGAAGCCGGCTTGGGTGGAGGAGGAAGTCAAGCTGTGATACGTGACTTAACAACTTCAGTTTACCCCATGGGGAATTATGGAGTGTAGATGTCCTCAAAGAGGAAGCTCTGGTGAGGTAAGAAGCTGTGCTGCAATCCCAAAAGCACATGATTTGAATCCACCAGCTGCTCCATGGGAGAAGAATTGGCAATCTCCATCCTTGTCATTTACTGCCTCTGAAACCCACTCTGGAGGGTCCGCTATGAAATCAGTTCTGACATAATGACACACAACAGCAGCAGCAAATGACCCCAGAAGAGTTGTCATTCATTAAGATTTAACATCCAGGTCATTGCTAAATTCTTTGCTAGACGTATTTATCTGTTGGGCAACAGGACTCTAACTAGGCTTGACTCTGACTCTTTGATTCCTCTGCTGTGTCTTCTCCCTATTAGGACACATGTGTTGCAAGACATTTAAGGCATTTCTACATTTTCACAGTTCAGAAGAACCAGTCCAGAGCTCTTTCAGATCTTGTGAATGGGATACAGTAGATTCTGTGGTCATAGGTCCATTTGGCACCTACGTTGATGGGAAGATGCTAGTACAGAGCTCTGAGACATGTGTTGACTTGGTTCGCCCAAGAGTTAGTATGGTGTATATTCATGTTTCAAATCTACAAAGTGCACCATGGAAGAAAGATAAGCCAAGACCTCTTAGAGTTTCATCTTGGAAACGCAATGCAGGCTTGCCATGAGTCACAGTTTAAGGTTACTGAGTGGTTAGGCCTTTACAGCCCTACAATGATCCCTTATTGTATGCAGGCCATTCTTAGAATCCTGTGACCTTGAATTAAGTGACCTCTTCAGATGAGGCAATTTTTGAAGCAGCTTGTTTGCTGACAGCCCTCCCAGCAACTCTGACGATTACTATTTCGTGGAATGAGGCTCTGAGAGGACGTCAGCCTACCCTGATTCCTCAAATTTTAGAGTACTAGCATTAATGAAAGTTCATTATCACTCATGTCACACATTCTGTGTTGGCTGGCAAATCAGATTTGTCCATTGTTATCACTAAGGGACCAGGCTGACAAGGACATGTTTTTCTAAGAGTCCCTATGGAAGGAGTGATAGAACATTACAGTGTGTTTCAGTAGCTATTAAATAATTCCATCTAGAGAATAATGTGCTCCTTCTGCTGCTGGCATTTCATTGGCCAGAGAAGGTCCATGGTCATACCCAACTTCAGGGCAGTGTGAAAGTATCATTTCAGCCTTGGCCAGACGAGAAAGAACTAGAGTATCTGTTGACTATCGCTATTGGCTACCACAGATATTGTACATTCTTCTTGAAAACTTTTAGTATACTTGACAGAGATGCCTTAGAGATAATAAAGCCTCCTATTCTATCAGCACATGTGTGGAAAGACAAAGAACTTCTAGAAGTAGAATTGTGTTCTATTATTGCTTGTATAAATTAATTGCTCTCGTGTGTAATTAAATTTTTATTGCTGTACTAGGATGTTTCAGTTCTGTTGGGACTTGTGTACTTTAATTTTTTTATTATTATTTTTCTCACTTTCATGGAGTTAATGTTTATATTGAAAAGGATAAAAGTTCAAATATGCTTCTGGGAAAAGGGGTTATCCATATGGGAAAGAATTAAATTAGGTTTCTACAACACATTAAAAAATAAGTTCCAGATGGATTGAAGAGCAAAATAATAAAAGTGGAACTATAAAACCTTTAGAAGGGAATCAAAGAGATTACCTTTTAAATCTTGGGTCAGGCAATAAAAAGCACAAAGAGCAAGGAAAACATTTTTTTTTACCAAGTTAAGATACACATTGTCTATGAAATAAAACTTCCTAAATTCAGTGTACACAGCACAGAAGATACAGTAACACATAAAACCAACACAAGATTAATATCCATAATAAACAATAAAGGATTCTTGGAATCATTAAGAAAAAGTTAAAAAACTAGTAGCAAAGTGGGCAAAAACCTTGAATAGTAAATTCATGGAAGAGTAAAAACAAATGATCTGTATTCATGAAAGATATTTTATCTTAACAAGTAATAAGAAAAATGAAAAAAAAATCTCATGAGATTGACAAAAGTTAAAAAGTTTGGTAGAGTTATGTGCTGGGCTTACTGTCCAGTGGGTGTTTAGAGGCAGTAAATCTCCTGGGAGGAGACGACTCATCTTTCCACAGCAGTGCTGCTGGTAGGTTCTAACTGTGTCTTTGAGTTGACGGTGTAGCTTCTTACCACTAAGCCAGCAGATATTCATATTCTGTCTATCTATCTACCTATTATCTCTCTCTCTCTCTTTCTCTATCTATCTATCTATCTATCTATCTATCTATCTATCTATCTATCTATCTATCTATCTATCTATCTATCATCTAGAGCTCTGGTGGTCTAATAGCAATAAGCTGAGCTGCAGTCCCAAAGGTACATGGTTTGAAGCCACCAGCTACTCCATGAGAGAAGGATGGGCAATCTCATTCTGTGTTATTAACTGCCTCTTAAAACCCACTGGAGGGTAAGCTATACGTTGGTTCAGACTCTACGATAAATAACACCACCACACACACACACACACACACACACACACACACACAGAGTACATAAATTTTCAGAGACTTTAGTGAAAACATGAATGAATTGCAAAATCTACTAGCTGCCCCTCAGGAGAAAGATGAAATGGTCTCCTATAAAGAATTACAGATTCTAAAACTTGAAGAAGAGTTGGTATATGCTGGAATTGACTTTAGGCAGTGGGCTTGGATTTGGTTTTGCCTTAATATGTGACAGATCTAAGAGATTGAAACCTAAAACAATGTTGTACAAATTTAAAATCCACAACTCTGTTTTTCTTAATTCTACTTTCCTGCATTTAACTCATGGTTCATTTATTTTTCAGACAGATTTTCATTTTTCAATCTGGTATTTTTGCATCTAAAATCTTGATCTGTATAATGAACACGGAACTTTTGAAATTGAATTTGCTAAAGTGATTTCAGTGTTTTCAAGTAATCTTTCAGAGAATACTCTGTAATCCATTTTCTGTTTTCTACACATCAAATTTCATTAGAAATTTATTTGATATTGGTGTTCATGATTTTTCTGTGGAAAATTTGGTTTTGTAAACTGACACTATGATATTGACATGATCTCCTAAAATAACACACACCTAACTCCATTCCCTTTATTCTCATACATGTGGTGTGGAAATTTTAGGTAAAGAGCATTTTTATTTAAGGAATTTTGCTAGTGAAATAATGTTAATTATTTGAGGATCATTGAAAAAATTAGCAAAAGATTAGCTTTTTTTCTTCTTGGTTTTCATGTATGCATTTTCAATTTGGTGAATGATTTTATGAGAGTAATTGTCTTACTAATTTATTTTTGTTTTGTTGTCTGTTTTCCTTTTCCTAGCATGTGATGAGTGGAAAATCTTACCCAAACCAAATCTTCATAGAGATGTCAACAGATTTGGACACTCTGCAGTTGTCATTAATGGGTAAAAGGAGCACATTCACCATTTTTAGAAGATCAAGTTGTATTATCAGCATGCTTTGTCATCTTTTTAAAAGATTTGTGCTTAATAACATTGGATCTTATGTACTCCTGATATAGATTACATTATCATTTATTAACCATATTATTTGTGTTTGTGTTAATATATTTAAGGGCCCAGAATAGGGGAAAAGATGTGGCAGTCTGCTTCTATAAAGATAATGACCTTGACTCCTCTGAAAAGGACCATGGTGAAAGATCTTAGAGGGAAGGGGAGGGTGGGTAAAATGTGGAAGAAATTCAAGAACATGGAAATAGCCAGATTTACTGTACTAATTGAGACTAGGTGGACCCCTAAGATTGTGGTCCCTGGTCACCCTTTGAATTTGCAGCTAAATTATCAGTCAAACTATAGACAAAGTTGTAATGTGACAGTAACACCAGAGAGGTACTCATTCCTTACGGTAACCAACCATGTGAGGTCGAAAGAGCAGCATTTACCTAAAGGTAGCACTTAGAAGGCAGGAAAGGATTGGTTAGTAAGATTAATGGAGATGAGGATAACAGGGAAGGTGGGGAGAGTGCAGTTTCATTGTGGGTGTTGTAACTGGTATAATAAAATGTGTAAGAATGGTTGGAAGGAAAACCAGTTTGCTTTGAAAACACATTCAAATAACAAAAAACTCATAATAATAATAATAATAATAGGCTTTGTTTAAAAAAAGGTTTCAACTTCTGAAACCCTGGGGCAGTCCACCTCTTTCTTATATCATTGTTGTGAGTAAAATTAGATTATAAAGCACATTATCAACAACAGCAAGGGCCAAGAATAGCAATAATAGTAATAAGGGTCAACATAGGAGAGTCCTTGAATAGGCACAGTGCTGAGACAAAATTTTCTGATACCATTTAAGGAATAACTTTTCCTTAAAAAGTTCAAACCAAATTATTGGTTGTTGTTGTTATGTGCCATCGAGTCATTTGCGACTCATAGCGACCCTATGTACAAGAGCTCTAACACTGTTCTATCCTGTGCCAACCTAGCCATCTCAAACGTACTTATTCCCACCGCTCCAGTCACAGAATCGATCCATCTCATTGAAGGTCTTCCTCTTCTTTGCTGCCCCTCCACTCTGCCAAACATGATGTCCCTCTCCAAGGACCAGTCCCTCTTTGCAGCATGCCCAAAGTATGTCAGACAAAACTTCAGAATCCTTGGCTCCAAGGAGCATTCTGGCTTCATGTTCTCCAGGACAAACCTGTTTGTTCTCCTAGCAGTCCATGATGATAGAGAGTATTATTAAGAATCAGATTTCCTTTCAGTTTTGTCATTAAACAAAATGTGTGCGTCTAACAAGTCATTTCACCTTCCTAGACTTTATAATCCTCCTATTCCTTGGGGATTTGGAATGGAGATTCATTAAATGGCTTCCTTCTTTGAGCTAATGTGAATTTTATACTCCTATAGCAAAAATTTTCTATTTTTGGACTCACAAGGCAGTAAACAATACCCTAACTTGTTTGGTAGTTTAAATTTTGTAATTTGTAATGACATCTTTAAAAGTTCATTCCATTATCATCTTACCCTAATTATGTGAAATTTTCCCAGCATGATCACATAATGACTTTATCCTAAACTAGAAATTAGCCATAATGAAACTATGTAACTGAAATTACTTAACTTTTAAAATTGTAAGAATTAGACTTCTTTATTGAATATTTGTGCTACTTGGTTTATGTTTTACTTTTTTAGAATATAAAAGATATTCTTGAAGCATTTACTGATTTCCCCCCACTAATTATGTTATATATAGAAAGGAGGAAAATGCATTGTTTTGGGGATATGTAAAGTGGCAAGAAGCTGCGCTGCAGTCCCCAAGGCAGGCAGTTCAAATTCACCAGCTGCTTCATGGGAGAAGGATGGGCAATCTCCTCCTGTGTGAATAGCTCTCTCTGAAAGGCTCCTGAAGGGTCAGCTGTGGGTCAGTTCTGACTTGGTACACAACAACAACAACAGCAACAAAATGTCTTTAGGACTGGCAGTATTAATTGCTTCAGTAATCATTTTAGTTTTGACTCCCAGATGAGCAATTTGAAAATCTTTTTGATTGCTCTTGTTCCTTCTGTTTTTTTTTCTTTTTTTTTTTTTTACTTTCTACTAGTTTATTTACAAAATTCAAATACAAATTTGAACAAATTCTTTTAATTTCCTTCCCTCTCCTCCCATCAAATTGTACAACCCAATGATTAATCCCCCCTTCCCTCTGCACATCCTCATCCCTCTGCTTCCAGCCTCTCCCAGCCGTCCTGGATCCTTGCACTCATTCTACTAATGGTTTTATACAATATTTAGTTCCTCTCTTTTAAAATCTTATTATGCAACAACATAAGATCCCTTTATAAAATGTCTAAATTTTCTATGATTTTAATAAAGTATAATTTAAGATAATAATGGAAAAGCACGTTTTATCCTCCATGCATGGCTATTAGTTATTTTTTATTCTTACCTTATTAAAGTGGTGTTAAGGTTCTCCTGATCAGAGAATGTTATATATAATTGTTTTTCCTTTTGCTTATGTGAGTGATTAACATGTATTTGGAAGACTTACTTTCTTCACTCCATTGAAACTCATTTTGTTACTGTTGTTGTGTACCGTTGAATCAGAGCCGACCCACAGATGACACTCCCGCAGGTTTCCAGAGGCAGTAAATCCAGTGGGAGAGGATTGCCCATCTTTCTCCTGCCAGGCAGCGAGCGGATTTGAACAGTGTAATCTTGGCTTGGCAGTGCAACTCCTTACCATTAAGCCATCAGAGCTCCCTGAGCTTAGTGGTTTTACATGAAGTAAAACTCATGTGATATTACATATTTGGTCTGCATAATCTTCAAGACATTGTTATATATATTCTTTTGAAGAGGAGTGCTGATAGAACTGTTTGCCAATATATAAAATGTGTATTTAGTGTATGTTAATTTTTTTCTTTAAAACTAGTCCTTCATACAGATTTTTTTTCAACAACTGTATGTTTTTGAGATTCTTGTTTTGTTTTCCTAGGTCCATGTATATATTTGGGGGTTTTTCTAGTGTGCTCCTCAATGACATCCTTGTCTACAAGCCTCCAAATTGCAAGGCTTTCCGAGATGAAGAACTCTGTAGAAATGCTGGCCCAGGGATAAAATGTGTTTGGAATAAAAATCACTGTGAATCCTGGGAATCTGGGAATGCAAATAATATTCTTAGAGCAAAGTGCCCTCCTAAAACCGGTGAGGCTTTTTTTCTCTCCTCTCTCCTTCTTTGTTAACAAATCTGCCTACTTTGTTAGATGACTTTTCCTTACTTTAATACCTTTCAGAAATTTCAAATTCAAATCTGTAATTGGGGGACCTAAAGTTTGACTTAAATATCAATGTTGTTTTTGTCTGGTGCCATCAAGTTGCCTGTGACTCATAGCGACCCTATGTACAGCAACCCTTAAACCCTGCTCTATCCCTTGCCAATCTTATTGTCTCTGACACACCTACCCGTATTACCCCAGTCACTGAATCAATCCATCTCATCGAGGGTCTTCCTCTCCTGCACTCTTCCTCCACCTTCCCAAGCATGACATCCCTCTCCAAGGACTGATCCCTTCTTGCAACATGTCCAAGGTTAGCGGTAGTATAAAAAATTAAATAAAATCTTCCACTCATTTAAAGAAAAAATAGTTTTTAAATCAAGGTCATTCATGAGTAAGTAAATTAAATATGTATTGGTAAAATTTTCTTAAGTCTTATTTATCTAGTCAACATTTTATTAGGATTATGAAGCTAGAATATTGGTCATGAAATTCTAGAAATACTTTTAATTTTATGGCTATTTTATGAATAGTTTTAATTTTATTGTTGGAGACAATAAGATTGGCACAGGATAGAGCAGGGTATAGGGCTGTTGTACAGAGTTGCTATGAGTTGCAGGTGACTTGCTGGCACATAACAACAACAACAACAACAAAACTAAACAATGCCTTGTAAGATTTACTAAAATATACAAACTCAAGTGTCTCTAAACATCTTTATGAAGAGTGAAGCTGTGTTGTTGTTAAGTGCCATCGAGTTGCAGGCGACTCATAGCAACCCTATGAAGGAGAGTCCTCTATGCTTGGGTGCCTTTCATCCTCTCTCCAGGTTCATAGGGTTTCCGGAGGCAAGCTATTATGGAAGTGGATGCCACTCCTCCTTCCAAGCTTGTTTTAATCAAGGAGCCCCACTCCACTCTCTGTCTGCAGTGGATAAATAACCATTAACGCATTTGACACATCAGCATGCATTTTAGGAATGTTTTCTTCTGTATGTTGAGTTATATATCTTTCTTGTTCAACAAAATAGCAGTTAAGTCCTTTTCCTCCTACATATGTGGATGTTAAATGGCCGTCAAATCCTGGTGGGATGCATAATTAAGTTGGTTACAGGAAGTTTCTAAAGTCATGCAGACACAATTAAACCACAAAGTTGACTTCATATTGGGGAGTTTATTTTTTATTCAAGATTATAATTACAGTTGTTGGGTTTTTTTTTTAAAGCGTCAGTGATTCTTAAACAGATGTTAAAAATGTATGAATGAGGAAGTGTGACATATTCTTATTCCTCCTGAAGTGTCTTATCTCCCATTTGTGTTACAGCCGCTTCTGACGACAGATGTTACAGATATGCAGACTGTGCCAGCTGTACTGCCAATACCAATGGATGCCAATGGTGTGAGGACAAGAAGTGCATTTCAGCCGCCAGTAATTGCAGTGTGGTCAGTGCTTCTCTGAGTGAATGGTGATGCCATTCACATTGTTGTTTTAGAATCATAAGCTCATCATTTAATAGTGCTGTATAAAATAGTTAACACATTAAGACACTTAAAAGTGTGGAGGGGATCCCTCATTTCTTGGTACATTGTAAATTCAGGCTGTGTAGCCTTGTTCAAATTTGTAGTGTAAATTCATTTCATTAGGATCTAGTTCATTTTGCTTCTTTTCATGCATGATACAAGGGTAGTTCTTTGAACACTGATTTAAAAACGTGTAAGTGTTGTCTTCTGTGTTGATCTAAGGATTCTACAGGTAACTATTGAAATCATCTTTATGAGATTATTTGTCAGACAGACCTTAATAGTGGAATGGACCAGTGTTTTGTTTACATACTTGACCCTTTCTGTGTAAATTCAATCTGAGGATTTGTGAGTTACGGGTTGCCTTTTTTATATCGGCTTCCAGATCAGGGATTTTTGACTGGAGGCAATTTTACCCCTCTGAGAATATTTGTCAATGCTAGGAAACACTTTTTTTTTTCTTCTTTTGCAATTCAGGAACTGGAACTGACATTGTGTAGGTCAAATAATGGATGAAGCTAAACATCCTGGAGTACACAGAGTAGGACCCCTTAGTTAAGAAATATCAGGGTCAAAATAACTGATGGAGGTGAGCTGGAGAAATCTGGCCTTTGATAAAATCAGATGGATGGATCTTAACTGAAAACAGATTTAAAAACAAATGTTTATCAGTGTTTTATTGACTATGCAAATGCCTTCAATTATGTGAATCATAACAAATTATAGATTATAATGTTATAGAGAATGAGAGGTCCAGAAAACTTAATTGTGGTCCTAGGATAACTGTACATAGACTGTTGTTTAAATATAAGGGGATACTATAGTTGTTGTGTAACATTGAGTCTGAACCAACTCATAGCTGCTTCTCCAGTAGGTTTTCAGAAGCAGTTAATCACATGAAAGGAGATTGCCCCTCTCTTGTGGGGCAGCTGGTAGATTTGAACCATGTACCTTTAGGTTGGCAGTTTAACTCCGTAGTATTAAGGCACCAGAGCTCTCAGGAGGTTACTACCTGGTCTACAATCAGGAGTTGTGCGTTGAGGATGTATCCTTACTTCCTATTTTTTTTTTTTTAAATCTGTATGCTGAGAAAATAATGTTGTTGTTGTTGTATTATTATTTCTCTCTCAATAATAATATGAGAAAATAATATAAGAAACTAAAAAATATGTTAAAAAGAATGTGGCATCAGTATTGGAGGAAGATTCAGTAATAACTTGTTATATATTCTTGCAATGGCACAATTCTATGTGCAAAGAAAAAAAGACAATTTTGTATAGTTATTGATGAAGATCAAAGACAATAGCTTCCAGCATAGATTACACCTCAATATAAAGCAAACAAAAATACCTCCATCTAGACTAGTAAGTAAGAATTTAATCTTACTTGCATCCACAGTAAATGCCCAGGGACCCAGTGGTTGAGAAATCAATTAACGTTGCTTGGGACAAATATGTTCTAAAAGATCCCTTTAAGATAATTGCTGAAGAACAAAGATAGATGATAGTTTAAAGGCCAAACTTTTATCTAATCTAAACCATGATATTTTTAATTACCTGACATGCATGTGAATTTGGACAGTGACTAAAGAAGACCACAGAAGAATTGATGGCTTTGGACTGTGGTGGTGGTGAAGAGTAGTGGATACACCATGGACTGACAAAGCGTAAATAGATGTGTCTTGTAAGTGTAGTCAGAATGCTTTCTTTAGGTGAGGCTGGTGAACCTTGTCTCACTTACGTTTGGAAGATGGTGAAACTTTGTCTCACATACATTGGACCTGTTATTAAGAGGGGCCAAGCAGGAGTGGCATCCACTTCCTAAACAACACGCCTCTGAAATTCTATGAACTTTGATAAATGATGATAGTTATTGAAAGGCTTCAGGCCTTTTGTTCATAGGGTCATTGTGAGTCAGGCTCAACTTGACAGAAATCAACAACAAAAACAACAATCCCTAAAGAAGGACAGCATGCTTGGTAAAGTACAACAACTGTGAGAAAGATGAAGAACAAGAGGGACTGGCCGAGTGGCTGCAGCAGTGGGCAGAGCACAGCAAGGATGTTCGGGACCACAGGAGACCTGCTGACCTGGTGACCTGGCCGTGTTTCATTCTATTGTAAATAGAGTCACTATGGGTCAGAATCAACTCCACAATGCCTAGTAACAGCCAGCACCTTAGGTGAAAGGCAATGTTAGAAACACTGCAAAATTTTATTTATGGTAGATGAACATAGATTAAGTGGCACAAACATTATTATTTGAAGTTACTCCTGACAGTATATTTCCTGTTTTTAGATATCATTAAATTTTCAAGAAAAAAAAAGTAATAATTACTAGGATTAAACAACTAATGTGTATATCGGATTTTATAGAGAGCGATTAAAATTCCCCTTCCACCTTCTCCACATATACTTCTCCCCACCTCACTCCCTGACCAGATTAAGAGGTATCCCTTGTCCCCACCTCAACCCAGTTACATCATTTTGTAACCTGTTTTTAGGGAGGAAACCACTTCTTTGTAATATTGCGATCTTCTGGTTATTTTCTGCTGGTCTCAACTTTAGTTTTCTAGAGCTGACCTTAGGGCATCACCAGTTCACATTCCTCCAGGACCCTTTCTCTTCTCAGCTGCCACCCCACTCCCCCAAAATGGTGAGCCCTGGGCCAGATTGTTGGATCTTTCAGGTATTTTAAAATCTATTCATCAATTAATGTAAATTAATCCAAATGCTAATTTTTGTGGTGCAAGAAGTTTTATTTTGTAAATTCAGGGTCTGGATAAGCTAATTAAGATATCCATTTTTGGTGGCTCTAAGTGTATTGTTTGTTTTTAAATAAAGTACACATATAGATAAAAAAAAATATGTTGTGGGCTGTCTAGTCAGAACTGACTCATAGCTGATCCTTCAGCGGATTTTCAGAGGTGGTAAAACACAGAGGAGGAGATTGCCTGTCTTTCTCCTAATAAAGATGTTATACACTCATTTTTTCTTTTTCTAAACTTTAATTAATCAGCAGAAGTATGCAATTGTTTTTGAAGACACCAAAGAAAAAAAAATAATCTGAATTCAAGCTATGGATTTTTTTTAATCTCTAATACTTCTCTATCTTCACTAACCTATAATATTACAAAGTATATTTAGTTTTCCATTCTATTCTAAAGCATCATTTAAAACGTAAAATGAAATGTTAGACTATGTAGCTGCTTGCATGGAATCCTTTTGCTTTCATAGATACTCTGTTGATGTATACCATCCAGTGATACAAGTTGCTTTAATAGCAAGATGTACTTCAATTTTATTCAGGGTATTCCATTAATATGACATGACTGTGCTTTGAAAATTTGAATTACTCTTTAGATTTACATTAATAGTCATCTAATGGGAGTTATTTTCGTGAGTAATGTGGAAATAGGAGTTAAGTAAAATAAGACATGGGAATAAGGGACTAAAATGAAGAATGTTAGTAAAAAATTACTAGCAGATTTCATTTTTAGCTTTGTTTAATAACCTTGGGTTAATTTGTATTTAGACAGTTAAACTAGGTGAAAAAGACCTATTGTCTTTATAATGGAAAATTATGTTGTATACTAAGTATCAAATACATATTTTATAAGGTAGCTTTTTGCTTTATATTTGAAATTTGATAATGATGTGTTAACAAGGAAAGCATTGGGCTAGATAGTGTGAGAGAGCAGATGGTACTCACTTGTCATTTAGAATTTGATATAATGTGCTTTTTAGACAGTTTCCTCAGAATGTCTGGTGATTACGCTAAACCAAATGCTAATGTGTACAGGAAGGTCTATGGGATTTTAGTGTAACTTATGTGCCTAGCTCCTTTACTTAATTATTTAGTCATATTTACTCCAAGTTGTAGATTCTGTGCTCTCATGACTTCTATAACTGCTTGCTTCTTAGAGGTTTGTAAGTTTACATTTGACTATATTAGAGTGAAGATCACTACTAGAGTAATAGTTACTTTTCATAGTTGGTTTACGAATGTATTTCTGGCAGAGAAATGCTGGCCATGTTTCAGAGTAAGTCGGCTTTCTTCCATCTGTGGTTAAATTGGCTCTGTGTGTGCTGGAGATGGAATTTCATCTATTGTGCTAGTTCAGTATCCGTATAGCCACTATACTGGGTTTCATGAACAGCAGTAGTTATAGTTACCATTGTTATTCTAAAGCCTCGTGTTAATCTGCTATTCTTTCTCTTATGCCAACATGATGATTAGCCATTCTGCTATCATCTTTATAGCTTATTTTACTTATTGGATAATTAGCGTAAATTTCTTTTCTGCTAGCTGCCTGATATTTATAGCTACACTCTAATGGTTATATTGAATGTTAAGATTTATATGCTACATGAAAACAAAACCCTAGTCATCCTGATAACATGGTCCTGGAAAATAGGCTTTCATTTTCTCATGGGGGAGACCCAGGAGTTTGAGCCAAGATGATATGGCAACTAAAAAGCATAATATGGGTGAAAAATAATAAGAAAAATTTGTTTCTAATGAAGATGTTGTGTACCATACAGTCAGAATCAACCCATAGCTGACCATCCATTGGGTTTTCATAAGTACTTAATCACAGAGGAGCAGATTGTCATCCTTCTCCCACAGAGCAACTGGTGGCCTTGAACCACATACCTTTGGGATTGCAGTGCAGCTTCTTGCCACTAGGCCCCCAGAGCTCCCTAATGAAGAAGTACAGATTGAATAATAATTTGAGTTTAAAAGGAATAGTCTATTTTTTTAAAAAAAAGATGAATAAAGACTGAAATAGAGAATAAAATAATATCTATTCATGTACTTTTCCCCCTTCTCATATAAAGTTCTACACTTTTTTTTGGTTAACATATAGTTAACACATAATGTATCCCGTGGCATCAGGTGTCATTGCTGAGGTTAGATGAATCTTGACTGAAAGCAGGAAGGATGTCTGTTTGTGATTTCTTGACTGTGAAAAGGCATTTGACTTTGTGTACCATAACAAATTATGGCTGACATTAAGAAGAATGGGAATCCCACAATGCTTAATTGTGGTCATGGCAAAACCTCTGTCTTGACCAAGAAGCTGTTGTATGAACAGAGCGAGTGAACACTGCATGATTTAAAATCAAGAAAGGTGTGGTCAGGGGTTGATAAATATAATGAATAGATTATCTTGTATTGGCTTTCTCTTCACCCAGCTTATCTATTTAATTAATTTTTGCTTGCTCCTCTCTTTCCTTTGTTCTATAAAATTTTACATCTCCAACAACCTTATGTAACAAATCTACCCAGTTGCTGTGAGTTAGAATTTACTTCTTTGTAGTACGTTTTTGGGTGTAGCAAATGTCTTCTGTGCTGACACTGATATTCCACTCCCTTCCCCCAGCTGCATCTCTGGAGTGAAGGTGACTACAAAGTATTTCTTGTTGGAAAGTTCATTGTTGCTATTAGGCGTGGCTGACTTGCTCCAGGAGAATGAAGCCCCGCCTGGTCCCACCCTGTCCTTACCCTGTTGCTATAGCGCTTGGGCCCATGTTTTGCAGCCACTGTTTCCTCTTTACGGACTTGACGTAGCATGCTGTCTTTCTCCATAACATGCTCAAAGCATGTGAGGTGGAGTCTCACCATCTTTGTCATCAAGGAGCTTCCTGGCTGCTCTTCTTTCTAGGAAGATTTGTTAGGTTTCATGAAAGCTGGAATTATGTCCTGTGTCCTTCAGAGGCCATGACTTTGTACATTTGCCTTTTATGTATTGAATTGCAAGCGTGTTTCCAAGAAATTGATGCTGTTTGATAATGTGAACTTTTCTCCCTCAATAAAATACATTCTGATTTGTTGAGAAACTATAGATTAACTAGGAAACTATAGAGTAATTAGGAAAAGATACATTATGATTGAGAAACTATAGATTAATTAGGAAACTATAGAGTAATTAAGAGAAGATACATTCTGATTGATTGAAAAACTATAGATGAAGAAGGGATCTGCATTCAGTAGCATTGGCCTTGGGACTGGAAATCTGTCTTCAAATTCAAAGGTAGTTTACATATACTCCGCTTTGCAAAGATGAGAACTAACATATCTTGTGTTTTAATTTTGTAGACTGTCAAAAACTATACCAAATGTCACGTGAGAAATGAGCAGATCTGTAACAAGCTTACTAGCTGTAAAAGCTGTTCTCTTAACGTGAACTGTCAGTGGGATCAGAGACAGCAGGAGTGCCAGGCTTTACCAGGTAAGGATGACAGGATTCCGTCAGGAGCTTCGGAGTCTGCATGTGGGCTCCACGATAGGGCAGGGCACTGAGGACAAACATTTCAGGTTCTAAACTTAGAGCGAAACTAGCGAATGCCGGGCAGTAACACTGGGGTACTGATACCAGGGTTTCTGCTTGAGTTTTCGTTTCAAGGAATTGAAACAGCAAGATATGATAATTGTGTTTTCTTTTAATTCTTTAAGGATACTTAAATTTTTTTGTGCTTATTATCTGTGATCAACTTGGTAAGATTTCTGTTCTGTAAACAGTGATAGTTAAAAATACATAAAACAAAAATACATAACAAATACTTACTAATATCCACAGTTCAGTAACCAGACCTAATAGGCAGATTTAAGAAATTTTAATACTTTTCAGTATTGATTTAAATAACCTTTTAAAAAATTGAATGGACTACACTTACTGGGGTTTTTTTTTAATTAGAAATTTATAATAGTATATTCAGTGACTGGGGTAATCGGGATGGGTGTGTCGGAGGCAGTGTGATTGGCACAGAATAGAGCAGGGTTTAGGGCTGTTGTACATAGGGTTGCTATGAGTCTCAAGCGACTCGATGGCACATAACAACAATAACATATATGGAAGCAGGAGTGGCATCCACTTCCTAAACAACATGCCTCCAGAAACTCTTATGAACTTTGATAAATGTCCATAGTTGTAGAGGAACTTCAGGCTTTTTTGTTCACATGGTTGCTATGAGTCGTGCTTGACTCAAAAGCAATCAACAACAACAACAACAACAACAACCACAACATATATTAATATAGTATGTATTAGGTTTAATAACAAGTATATATTATACAATTATATAAAAATTTGGGTAAGTTATAAAATGAGAGTAAATTCATTACAAAAAGTAATTTCAATTTATTTTTTGGTGCCAGCATTCTTCCTAATGGAACCTTTCTGATAACTCTTATTTTTAAATATAAAAGATAAATTCAGAAAGCAATATAGGTATTTATCCAACTCCCTGTTCTTATTACACAGGTAAATTGTGCCAGACACGTAGTAATAAGCTGCATGACTTATAAATGCAGTCATCTCATCTCCTCACTTTTCTGTGCTCTCTAGACTTGCCTTTCCCCCTTTGTTTTTCATTAAAAAAGATTATGATACTATTTAATTTATTATGCAGCAGTGGAAAAATCAGTTTCTCATGTTACTATGTCTGAAGACAATCTCTGTACAAGTACATGTAATAAGTTAAAAATTAGATTGCCTTTGAGTTTTGTGACATTTAGTCTAATTTTTAATTTTGTTTTAAGCTTTTAAGTAGCAACATATGCATGTATATTCCCGTTGAGAAAACTAGAAAATAGCTAGTTTTTCAGAATCAAAGATGACAAAACTTGAAAATAATACCGATCTCTAAGTTAAATTAGAAAAATAAAGATCGATGTAAGTAAGTATTTACAGACTTTCTTGGTAAGAGTAAGACCCAGACTAAAATAAGTTAACTGAAGCAATTGAGATTCAATAAGAAAAGAATTTGATTAATAGTGGGAACTTGTTGAATGATAGTGAAGTTAACTTTGGAAACAAAGAATTCATTTTCCATGGTAAGGAATATCGTCCATTGTTATAGGGGGTCCCCTTAGTGATCTTTTGAAGCTACAATCAAATCCTCACTTATCTACTACCTTGTACTCTTTTGCTTTGCCTCCGTAACGTCATTTGGTATTTTTTATTCCAGAAGACCAGGGCAATTACTATACGTGTGTGGCCTCATATGAAAACAAGAGTGCCCTAAACCACCTTTTAAATGGCAGTTGCAGGATCCTGAGGAATTACTGTGTTCAGGCACGGTGTAATCTCTAGAACAGCCGTTACCCGAGGGCAGAGCCTCCCACATCCTTCCAAGGGCTATCTATGTGAAGTTCAAACTATTTTCATAATAACACTAAAATAATTCTCACTCTCTTCTAGATTTATATTGAAGTTTTCCTAAGGTTGCCTGATCCATGATATTCCAAGAACTTGGTTGTAGAAACTGAATTGAGAATACACTTTTCTTTTTTTTTAATTTTTTAAAAAATTTTATTATTTTTGTGTGAGTGTACCGTCAAACCAGATCTGACTGGTACAGGAGGAGATTGTCCCTCCTTCCCGGCAGAGCATCTGGTAGATTTGAACCGTACGCCTCTGGGATTGTAGTTGCAGCTCCTTGCCACTAGGCCACCAGAGCTCCCCTGAGAATAGACTTTTCTTGTAGTAAACCAGAAGTTGTTGTTGTTATTAAGTGTCATCGAGTTGTAGGTGACTCATAACAACCCAATGAATGAAAGTGCATGACACTTGTGTGACTTTCATCCTTTCTCCAGGACCATAGGGTTTCCAGAAGCAAGCTATTTTCAGAAGTGGATGCCACTCCTGCTTCCAAGCTTGTTTTAATCGGGGGAGGGAGGGCTCCACACAACACTGTCTACCATGGGTAACCATTATTGCATTTGACACATCAGTGTCACAGTGTTTGGCTTCACAGCCACCACGAGTTACCTCTGTACGGCAATTGGACACACCAGAGCTTTATGACCTAGAAGAATGTTTGACCAAAACCAAGGAAAAACAGGCCTGAGGGCTGCGGATTAGAGTCACCCACCTTTGGCTAGTAAATCAGATATTTTAAAGAGATTTATCAAAACAAATAGTAACTCCCTTCTCAGGCCACCTTTTAAAAGTAAAAGGTGCTCTTTTGTTGACTTTTAAATTACTATTTGAAGTGAAGAAATAATTTTATTATTTTACGACTTAAATTGATTATGGTGTTGATAGATGCATACGTAAAGAAAAATATATAGGCTCCGCAATTTTTAAAAATTATGATTTGAGGGAAAGTTTACAAGCAAATTAATTTCTCAATCATTCATTTTATAAAATTAATTACAATATTTGCAATGTTTTGACACTTTTCCTGTGTTTTTCTTGTAATCTTGTTGTTACTAATGCTTCCATACCTTCCTGCCTTTTGAGTTTCCGCACTGGACAAATGCTAGCCAAATAGTCTAAGGAACGAATAGATCCTTAGTGTTACTGCTCACCCTATAGATCTCTCATTTGACCAGAAGTAGAGCCAGAGGGACCAAGTTTGGTTTTTGGTTGTTTTGGTGTTTTTTTTCCATTAATTTTAATGAAAGGTTACAGAGACTTTGGATTTCCATTCATTCATTGTTACACACTTTCCTCCCTGCCCACCCCTCCCCCCAGCTCTCCCTTTTCTTAGAAAAGTAAAAAAAAAAAATTATAAAAAAAATTCATTGTTACGCAATCCACCCACCCGGTCCACTCCACTATGCAGCCTTCCTTCTGGACTCCTGTCATGACAATGTTTGTTGTTGTTGTTTGATGCCGTCGAGTCGTAGACGACTCATAGCGACCCTGTGAATGAACAGCCTGAGCACTGTTCGTACATAGAGTTTCCGGAGGCAAGCCATTTTGGAAGTGGATGCCGCTCCTGCTTCCAGGCTTGATTTAGTCGGGAAGCTCCAGCCAACACTGTCCACCATGGGTGCCCATTACCACGATTGGCACATCACTGTCACAGTCTTCAGCATCACAGCAACCACGAGTTACCTCTGTACAGCAACGCACAGACCAGTGCTATACCACCTAGAAGTATGTTTGACAGGAAAACAACTTGAACCTAGCCGAGGGCCACAGATGACAGTCACCCACCTTCGGCTTGGTAGCATGACAATAATGCTTAATAATATATCCCTTTTAAACAGTTCTCTCCCTCATCTGTTTTAATGCAGTATACATAATTTATCCCATCTTTTCTTAGTTTCCCCCAACACTGGTGTCAGTCCTGCATTACAACAGTGACATTATGCAATGTTTGTCCTTTTATGAATGAGATATTTCATTAAACATAATATCTTCCAGGGTCACCCATTTTGTATAATTATTCATGAATTCCTTGTTTTCCAATGAAGCATAATATTCCATTGTGTGAATATACCACAGCTTCTCCATTTGTTTGTTGATGGGCAGTTGGGTTGTTTCCAGCTCTTTGCTATTGTGATCAAAGCCACAATAAATATGGGTGTGCATATATCTACTTGGGTGGCAGTGCTAGTTTTCTTTAGGGTGTATTGCCAGTAGTGGAATTGCTGGATCAAGTGGCATTTCTATTTCCAATTTTCTGAGAAAGCACCATACTGCCTTCCACAGTGGTTGCACCATTGTACATTCCCATAAGGGTTCCAACACCACAACAAGATAAAGGTAAATAACGCAATTGAAAAATGGGCACAGGATATGAACAGACACTTAACCAAAGAAAACACTCAGATGGCCAACAAGCACATGAAGAAATGTTCAACATCCCTAGCTCTCAGAGAGATATAAATCAAAACAACTATGAGATATCATCTCATCCCAGTAAGAACAGCAAAATTTAACAGAACAGCAAACAACAAATACTGGTGAGGATGAGGAGTGAATTTTGAAGGACAGTTAAGGGTTAACCCTTGAGGGTTAAAGGTATTCGAAAAGCAAAAAAATCCGACCACTGCCTTAGAGCAATTCTGTGGTGCACATCAGTATCTAAGCCCTGTCATACAGGGAAGAAGCACTGAGATATTTAACATGGCAAGGAAGCAGAAATACTGTCTAACTTTATAGATTTTTGTATTAACAGACCATGATGTGTATGTTAAACTAACTAGTATATGTTAGAACATAACTTGGTAAAGTATGTAGACTTATGCCTTAGAAAATAGCCTCTATTTTGCACACCCATGTTTATTGTTGCTTTGTTCACAATAACAAAGAGTTGGAAACAACCCAACTGCCCATCAACAAACGAATGGATAGAGAAGCTGTGGTATAGTCACACAATGGAATACTATACTGCATTGAAAAACAAGGAAATTGTGAAATATTATACAAAATGGATGACCCTGGAGGACATAATACTGAGTAAAATATCTCAGTCACGAAAGGACATAATTATTACATAATGCCACTGTTGTAAAACGGGACTGACTTTGAGGTTTGGGGGAAGATTGAGAAAGATGGGATAAATTATGTATACTGCCTTGAAACAGAGGAGGGAGACAACTGATTAAAAGTGACATATATAATTAGGTATTATTATCATGACAAGAGTCTAGAATGAAGGCTGTATAGTGGAGTGGAATTGGGGGAAGGGAATTGAATTTTTCTTTTACTTTTCAAAGAGAAGATTGAACTGGGGTGGGGGGAATGGAGGAATGGGCAAGGAGAAAAATACAACAATGAATTAATGGAAATCTGGAGTCTCTGTAAATGTGTTAATTAATAATAATTTAAAAAAACCCTATAAAAAAAAGAAACAAAATAGCCTATATTTGAAGTTCAATGTGTACTTTCTATGAATAAGCCACATGTTTTAAATAATTAGTTTGAAATTTAGAAAGACTAGTAAAAAGAAAGAAAGCAAGGATTATAGGATTTTAAAACTAAACATAGGTGAAAGGAGGGATCTTTGTCCATTGTTATAATAAAATAGGAAAGAATGAAAGAAAATGAACTCTTACATCAGAGCTGTATTTACTCCTGGGCTGTGGGAATCACTTTGGTGGATTGTTGGTGGCACTGTGGGAATAGTTTAGAAATTTATATTTTAAAACTTATTTTAAAACTATATTAAGGAAAATGCATGGCAAAACGTATACCATGTGAACAGTTTCTGTGTAAACCATTTAATCACATTTCATCATGCAACCATTTGTCACTCTCTTTTTTCTTAGTTATTCCTTGTACATTAACATCAACTCTCTGCCCTGAGCAGTTTCTATCTAATCTTCCAAGTTGATGTTCTCAACTTGATACCACGTTATTAGTTCTTAAAATTGCATAATGCTCAAGTAAGGCTTTTTCAATAGTTAGGTCGTGCTAGTCAGAGACAGAGAGGAAGATCGTCAACAAGATGGTTTGACACAGTAACTGTGACAGTGAACTTGAGCATATGAGAGATAGTGAAGAGGGTCCGGCCAGGACAAGCTGCAGTTCATGGGTTGCTATGAGTCATAATCGTCAACTTCATGTCATCTAACAATAGGGAACAATGTTTCAGCTAAACTACTGTGTGAATTTATTAAGTTTATGGGGGAGATTTTTGGTTGAAGATTTAAAGATTTTTTTCAGAGGAATCCTTCATCCAAACTTGATGGCTCTTGGAAGAACAGGGTCCAGAATAATTGAAAATTCTGTTTAATATTTTAATTCATTTGGTAAGAGTGTAATTACATTTGTTACATAATGATTGTTTTCCTCTTATAATGATCTTATGTAAAATACATCTTGGAATATAAACTAAGTAATGCTTTAACTTGTTGAGATACCATTTGCCCATACACTGCAAATTCACATGTACAGTGAACACATTCCAACATATTTTGTAGAAATCTTACAGCTTCCTTAATGCTTAAGAACTAGTGAGAAAATAATAACAACAACAACAGACCCTTTCTGGTCTCATTTTCCAGTAAACGATTTGACAAATTTTATTTATAAATTTATAATGAGGTATTTTGAAAATGTCTATAATTTAAAGAAATACAAAATTTGTATTTTAATTTTGTAGTAATTGGAAAACACACTGTTTTGGAAACCTGAAAACAAAATCTGTGTTTTCTTCCCTAGCACATCTTTGTGGAGAAGGCTGGACTCATGTTGGGAATGCTTGTCTTCGCATCAATTCCAGTAGAGAAAATTATGACAATGCGAAACTTTACTGCTATAATCTTAGTGGGAATCTTGCTTCATTAACTACCTCAAAAGAAGTAGAATTTGTTCTGGATGAAATACACAAGTATACACAACAGGTAACAACTTGATTTTGTAATATGATACTATGCTATGATAAGCTCCTATTTCTTGGAAAGCATTTCTTTTTGATACGTTATTTAGAAATAAATGTGCACTTCATTTTGAGAATGAGCCCTCAGACTGGCTTCCCTGAAAATCACTACACCACTTTTTCTGAAAGTGTTTATGAATAAATACACATAAAAAGCTTGGCATATCATTTAAGAGTGTTTTTCATTGTAATTATTTGATAGCTTAAGCTTTTTCTTGCAATAGAAACACTAGATCAACACCTTGACTGTGTTTGTATACGTATACTGTACAGTGTGTGCTACGTTAGGAATTAAACTTTACATCACATTACTTTCCTAGGTACAGATTTATTTGACCCAAATGCTAAAGAGGAAAAAACTTTGGCAGATTTTTAAGCTGTGTGGAAGTTACTGAAACATACATCACTTAGAGACAATTGAAGAGTTTTAAAAAGTTGCTTTATGGAGAAGTTAGATACTTTCTAGAAAAATTCTAACAAAATGCTACTTTATCTGAAATTTCCGAAAGAAATTTGTAGGTAGTATATTTGTTACTTTTTCTTGGGATGTTTAAAATATTGTCAACCAAAGAGTAGATTAAGCAGCAAGTTTGAAAATAACCTAGTACCTCTCATGCTGGCAGTGTAGTTCACAGAGAATTATGCATCTTTTGCAGGTTGAATCCACTGGTAACTCCAAGGGAGAAAGATGGAACCAGTTTCTTCCCATGGTATTTACAGCCTTGGAAACCCAACGTGGGGTTGGCTGTGAATCAGTACTGACACGCTTTTGGGTTTCCAAGACTGTGATTCCAGTGGGAGGAGAATGATCACCTTTGTCTAGTGGACAAATGCTCATGGGATTCCAACTGTCACAGAAGCATGATCTTTGACAATACAGTTCCCCATGAACTACTCAATCAGAGTGGATATATTTACTTAAAACTTAGTACTGTGTTGTTGTTAAGTGCCATCAAGTCGTTGATGACTCATAGTGTCCCTATGAACGAAAGACCTGAACACTTTTATAGCTTTCATCGTTTCTCCACGTTCATTGAGTTTCTGGAGGCAAGCTATTTCAGAAGTGGATACCACTCCTGCTTCCAAGCTTGTGTGAATTAGGAAGCACCCTTAAACACTGTCCACCATGGGTAATAACCATCATCATATTTAACACATCAGTGTCACGGTGTTTAGCATCACAGCAACCTAGAGTTACTTCTGTACAGCAAATGGACAGATCAGTGCTATACAACTTAGAAGAATGTTTGACCAAAAACAATTAAAACCTGGCCTGAGACCACAAATGCAATTTTAAATAGGAGGCCAAATCACATCATCTCACACTCACCAGCTAGTCAACATTCCACCCTAATCCTCACCAGAACCAGCAAACAAGCCTCTGTAGAATCTGGCTTCTGCAGACGACTTCCAAATTGGATTCTAAAAACTTAGTACTATTATATGTATTTAAAAGAAAACAGATCTTGAAATACAGTAATATCATGTACATTTAAAGGATAGCAGATTCAACTTAATATAATGTAAATTTAAAGATTTGGAAGCAGGGGTGGCATCCGCTTCCCAAACAACATGAACTTTAGGAACTTTGATACATTTTTATAGCCTATGGAAACTCTGAACTTTGATAAATGATGATTGTTGTAGAAAGGCTTCAGGTCTTTTATTCATAGGGTCTCTATGAGTTGTGCTTGACTTGACGGCAATCAGCAACAATAACTACAAATTTAAAGATTGCAGATCTTTGTTATTCTTTAGAAAATAAATTAGAACACAATCATAGCTGAGATTTTTAGATTTTAAGCAGCATTGTAGTAGATAGACTGTCAAAATGATGGAAAACCTGAATTCTGTGTGGGGTTAATTACAAATTAATAGCAAATTAACATCCTCAGCACTTGAGTCCTCTTCTGTAAACTGCGCTAACCTCAGTGTAGATGCCATGGAAAACAGACCTGCTAACATACGTCCATAAGGCATTTTAAAAAATAGGACTGCCACTCTCTTTCCAAAAGGGCACCACTTTGAAAACCCACAGAGTAGTTCCATCTACTCAGCCTGCACAGAAGGGTTGGGTATGCATCAGTATTGATTTAATGGCAACTAACATAATAGCCAGTATATATTGTGAGGAATGATATATTGTGTATAAAGAAAATGGATAATTTTAAAAAATATTTACTTCTTCTTCATGTATATAATCAAGTCAGAACCAACCTGTAGCTGACCCTCCAGCAGGTTTTCAGAGGCAGTAAATTGCCCCTCTTGCTCCTGTGGACTAGTTAGTGGATTCAAGCCATATACCTTGGTGTTGCCAGCACAATTTCTTATCACCAAACCACCAGAGCATCCTTGGTTATTTACTATGATGATGATTATCCTTACTGTAAAGAATATTATTTTTGGGTCTCCATTCCCATGTAAAGGATATTGTTTTTGGATCTCTATTTTCACTACTAATATTATTACTATTTCTAGCAATCATTTTTTAGAGCATGAATTTCTAGTTAAGAAAAATTTATTTGCTGAGTAGTTTGTTACTGTAGATATTTGTTTTGGAGAAATATTTGCCCTACTAATATATTTCAGTTTTTTTATTTGCCCTATTAATGTCTTTAATTTTTTATCTTCTTAATTATAAGATTCTGTTGTACATTACAATGTACAATGGCTCCTTGGAGGCAAGGATTCTGAGGCTCCGTCTAACATACTTTGGACATGTTGTGAGGAGAGACTGGTCCTTAGAGAGGGACATCATGCTTGGGAGGGTGGAGGGACGGTGCAGGAGAGGAAGGCCCTCTATGAGTTGGATTGATTCAGTGACTGGGGTAATTGGGATGGGAGTGTCAGAGACAGTGTGATTGGCACAGGACAGAGCGGAGTTTAGGGCTGTTGTACATAGGGTCGCTATGAGTCGCAAATGACTCGACGGCACATAACAACAACAACAACAACAACAACAACAACAACAACAATTATAAGATTCTTTCCCATCTAACAGTTCTAGTAGGATTTTTATGTGTTAAAATAATTCCTAGTTTACACATTTTCCTTAGGGAGTTCTAAGTTAGTTTATGGGGAGTTGTGTTGCTAAGCCCCTCTCTGGTGGTGTGACTCCACAAATTGCTCTGTAGGAGAATTGGACCATTTCTTCCCATGTAGTTTATATCCCACAAAAACCCACTGGAATGTCAGCTATGAGTTGGTTCCGATTCTGCGGTAAAGAGTTTTTGTTTTTAGTAACAACAGACTAGTCATATGATTTTCAGAGGAGTGATAACAGTTACAAACATTGAAAAACTATAACTTAAATACATTTCCTTTTGAACTTTAATCTCAATCTCTCTCTCTCTCCTCCCTGGGTCCATTTTAGGGGCCTGTCAAATGTTTGACTGCAAGTTGAGCCTTAGGGATGAGTTTTGCTTCCTGTTGGAAGAATGACTGTGGGTCATAGGATTGGGGTACTACCAGTCTCTATGGGACTAGTTAGGCTGGCTGTGTTTAAGTTTTTGAGTTTTATTCCACGTTTCATCATCCTGTCAGGGACCTTCTCCTGTGATCCCTTGTAGAATTCTCAGCAGCTGCAGCCAAACGCCAGCTGTGTTTCTGTCCTTGGGGTTCGAAGGAGTGGAGGTTCACATCATCCATCAGCAAGGGCTGGACTATTTCTGTGCATCTTTGCCTTTCTCTGCTTTTATTTGTTCCATACAGGAACAGACCGATAGTTGCCTGTGAGATGACTGCAGGCTTTAAAGATACTGATCACACCAAGAGGTAGAATATTGTCTTTGTGGACTGTGTTGTGTCCACATACTGTCTCGATGTCCCTGGAATCGATGATCCTGAGGTCCTGGGACCTCATTGCTCAGGATGTTTGATGATGATCATTGTTGTGCACTATTGAGTCAGAGCTGCCTCAGTGCTGACTCAGACCCTTTGGTGGGTTCTCAAGGCAGGAAATTAAATGGGAGAAGATTTCCTGTCTTTCACCCATGGAGCCTCTGGTGGATGCACGGGCAGAGCCCTTCCTTCCCCGTACACAACAGAGCTCCCTAACCGGTTATGATCAGAAAATTACCTGGTTCTGATTAGAAGGTTGCCTCCTGTAGCCTCTGCTGCATACGTGGATAGATTTATAGCGTATTTAATGTGAGTGATAAAATCTGCCCAACCTGTACGTGACTGTATGCGTGCTCCCTTGTACTTGACCACATCTATTTGTCTTGGCTGTTTGCCTGTTAAAAAAGTGTATTTCTTATGATTATTAAGAATCTAATTTCTTATATTCCTTTTTATTTATAGCATGAAAGTCTTCTAGTAATAAATTTATGTATTGATTTTATCTAATCCTAAATTTATCTATCTATCTATCTATCTATCTATCTATCTATCTATCATCTATGTATCTATCTATCTATCTTTTCAGATATTTTGAAATGTTGTTGTTAGGTGCGGTTAAATCAAGTGCAATTCGTAGTCTTCTATGAACAGCACACCTGAACCCTGTCCTGTCCTGTGCCATCCTCACAATCTCGGACACACTAGAACCCATTGCTACAGCTGCTGTGTGAGGGATTTCCATCTCATTGATGATCTTCTTCACCTTCACTGGCCCTCCACCTTTCAAAGCATTTCTAAGCATGATGTCCCTTTCCAAGGAATAGCCCCTTTTAACAAAATACTTGAAGTTATGTGTGTCAATTTTTAGTTGCTCATTTTTCTTGTTTACCATTATAAATAGCAACAACTGGACCAACAGCTGTTTTGAATGTGTGCCGAACATGGGTTTGGCAGTTGGCTGAGTCAGTAGTAGGTCCCATAAATGATGAATATTTTGTCTCACCAGAAAGCAGAATAGTAAGATTCAAAAGTGAAAACTTCAGCAAGGTGACATTCCATTAACCCTATCTTTATATAAGATAAATTCTATTCAGAGTTATACTGCAGTGGCATAAGCTTAAGATAACCCTTTCTTGCGAAGTGAAAATCAACAAATTAATATACCGTAAAGAGCTATCTCAGGTCAAATGATCATTTACTTATTAGAATTGGCTAATGAAATGTTACAGTGATTTATGGTCTGCTGCAGTACATTTTTATAATTTAGTAATTTATCTTTCATTTTCAGCTGCTTGTCCAGTTCATTTACTGAGTAATAGTTACTTGAAATGTTTTATCAACAGCTCCATTTTTCTGTTCCTCTTCTCTTTATCTCAGATTCTTATCATGAGGAGTTAGGGAGTAATATTTCATTTTAAGTGACTTGTCTTTCCTATAGATAGTTTGGAAATACCGACAGATTTGATATAATGTGAAGCACAATAATGAATCTGAAATATCTGTGTTGGATTGACTCCTGCTGTTATTATCAAGAACTGTAAAAATGTTATAGGAGGGTTTTTTTTTGTTATGAGAATATCTTTGAGAATAATATCTGAAATATATGGTGATCACAATATGAAACAGCATGAGTATTTGTATAATTAGAAGTGTTATTTATTCTCCATCTAAGGCATGTCACTGGATGGTAGAATATTCTCATCTTTGCTATAATAATCTTTGTTTAGCGAAATTGATTGACTACCTACTTAGTCCTCTACTGAGCATTATGTGATCTACTTTCATAATAAGTATTCAGAAAGCTCTTGAATTTTATTCAGGAAATATTTGTCGAATGCCTGAGTTGAGTGTGGAATTCATGTTTTTATATACTTTACAAATTTCCATGCCTGCAGCCATCTCAATAACTTCCCTATCACTGTTTGCACAACATAATTAGAATAATCGTTTAATTGTTAATTTATTTTTTACATGTAATATTTAAAGGTAAATAATTACAATTTAATACTGAAATAAATATATTCTTTTTAAGTTGTTGAAGATTCAGCAGGGTAGACCTTGTGGTCCATGATCTAGCACAAGAGATGATGCCCATTTGAACCCATTTCATGCTGTATTGACAGACTAGTATATTAGCAAATATGTTATTATAGCCTGTATCTTGGACCAAGACTAGATTATCATTTTTTCATAAAATAAAGTAACATATTTAAAAAAATATATAATGCTTGAAATAAGGTTTGTATGTAAATGTGGAATCAATTTTGCTTTTATACTCATTTTGGAAATTACAAAGGGCATTAATTAAGAATATATAGTTAGTGGTCAGTACAGGCCATGGTCTTTGCAATTACTTGCCATGCATCAGAGAGCTGGACAATGACTAGGGATGATAGAAGGAGAATTGATGCCTTTGAGCTGTGGTGCTGGAGAAGAGTATTGCATATACTATGGACTGCTAGGAGAACAAACAAATTTGTCCTCAAGAGGGTGAAATCAGGCTGCTCCTTGGAGGCAAGGATTCTGAAGCTTCGTCTGACATACTTTGGACATGTTTCAAGGCAGGATCAGTCCTTGGAGAGGGACAACATGCTTGGGAGGGTGGAGGAACAGTGCAGGAGAAGAATACCCTCAATGAGATGGATTGATTCAGTCACTGGGGTAATGGGAGTAGGTGTGTTGGAGACAATAAGATTGGCAAGGGATAGAGCAGGGTTTAGGGCTGTTGTATATAGAGTTGCTATGAGTTGCAGGCAACTCAATGGCACAGAAAACAACAACAACAGTAGTTAATGCTATTTGTTTAGTGGTATTTGTCAACTTTTGCAAGTAATGTGAAAGAAGATATTTATATAAAAGAGCATAAATATTTAAATGTAGTTGTAGAGGTTTAAATTAGGAGTTACACAGTTGTATCTCAGTTCCTTTGCAATCTTGTTATTAAATCTTTGCTCAGATCCTAAATACTGTTGGTTAATGTTTTCTATATTCCCATACTACAGAAAATAGCGACTTTCAGATTTATTAAGTCACAACTCATTAGACTGGTAATGGTGGTAGTAGTGACAGCAGCAGTAGCATCCTGAGAAGTGTTTTTAATCATGTGTCTCGAGGTGGAAACTTGGATATTTATGTCCCAAATTTTAGAAGAGGAAGAGGCTCATAAGGGCTAGACATTTGTCTCCAAACCTATGTTTCTGTGATGTGCCCTTGAGAAGGAACCCACTCCTAGCTGGCCCTCCAGCAGGTTTTCGGCGGCCGGATGTGGCACAGGAAGAGATTGCCTGTCTTTCTCCTGAGGAGCAGCTGGTGGACTTGCCCCTCTGTTTTTTTGGTTGGCAGCACAACTGCTTATTAGTAGATCACCAGAGCTCATTGGCACCAGGGTCCAATGCAGAGTGCCCACCAAACATATAAAGAAAACGTGTGCTTTAAAAAGTGATTCTCACCTCTTTGGAGGGGCCCCGATATTATTGTCATGACAGGAGTCCAGAACGAAAGTTGCACAGTGGAGTGGATTTGGGGGGAAGGATTGTATAACAATGAAAGAATTTTTCTTTTACTTTTCAAAGAGAAGGGGAACTGGGGTTGGGTGTGGGCAGGAAGAAAAGTGCAACATTGAATGACTGGAAACAAAAAAAAAAGTAAAATACAACTCTGTGTGAAGGCATATTAAGAACCAAAAAAACAGTGATTCTATATAATATAGAAAGTGTGTGGAATTGTTCATTGTTCTCCATTCTAGGAGTCATTGGAAAGACGAGTCATAGTTTTCAAAAGGCATTTTGAATGGATATGAACTATTTGCTAAGGCGTATGATACAGGACCCCTCTGTTTTCCTTTGTTGACTCCCCTTTTGATGTCCTTTGCAGAAGTTAGCGCCTTGGGTAGGCTTACGCAAGATCAATATCTCCTACTGGGGCTGGGACGACTTGTCTCCTTTTACCAACACCACCCTGCAGTGGCTTCCTGGCGAGCCCAACGACTCGGGATTCTGTGCATACCTAGAAAGGGCTGCCGTGGCCGGCTTGAAAGCCAATCCTTGTACATCAGTAGCAGATGGCCTTGTGTGTGAAAAACCTGTTGGTAAGTAGTCCAGGAAAACATTTTTTTATTCTTCCCTCCCTCAAAAGATAGCATGTTTTCAACCCTTTTTCTCATCAACTCCTTCCAAGGCGCGATAGCCTGTGGGAGTAACTTTTACCATTTTTTATGTGAAACAGATTCCCTGGCTTGTAGGTAAGTTCTGCTTTATCCACTTTCCTTAATCACTTTTAGTGATCTCAAGGAAGCCTGGTGATGCTAGTCAAAAAGTGGGTGGTTCCAACTCATCAGTCATTCTGCAGGAGAGAGATGGAGCAGTGGGTTACTGTAAGGACATACAGCCTGGAAGCCCCTCTGCCTGGTCTGCCCTGTCCTGTGTAGTCATGAATCGGAGTCAGCTCCCTGATGGTGGGTGGGTTTTATTGATCTCAGCATTATTATGTGACCATTTTTAAAAATTGTATGATACAATTCAGACTTCCTGTTTGAAAGAATGGTATTATAAAAATGACCTTCCGTTATTGTAAGAATATGTTCTTACTTTGTTAATAACTTTCACTTATAATATTTCAAAGAAACATTTATCCAAGATTTAAAAGTATGCTAGAATAATTTTTTTTAAAAAAAATATTTTACTTGCTGTGTGCTGTTGAATCAGATCCGACTGGGACAGGAGGAGATTGCCCCTCCTTCTCCAGCAGAGCATCTGGTGGATTTGAACCGTGTGCTTTGGGATTTGCAGCACAGCTTCTTGCCACTTGGCTACCAGAGCTCCTTTAGTAGAACCATTTTGATATTGCCAATTTATTTTGTTTGGTGGCTAACAGGAAGCAAACATTTCTCATATTATTTGAGAGATTTTTTTGTTCAGTGAAAAAAGAATATTTAAATTTTTTTCTTTTAAATGTTACATTTTGTGTAAAATTTCATTGCAAATTTTTCTATTTTTATTCTTTGTTCATATTAGACATATGTTTACTAATTGGTCATCAAGTCTAAAAAGATGTGGAATACTTATGGGGAAAAAAATGTATCGAGGAAAGAAAGTAATGACTATTCATTCATTTAATATACAAAATAACTGTATTATAGATTAAAATACAATTTAGGATTTTTAAACTGTACAACTTCATTTACTTTATAAATAATTAAAAATTTCCAAAGAATTATGAATTTTTGGGGTTAAAATTTCCAAAGAATTATACACTTTCAGGGGCACTCTGGAACCCTATAACTCTATAGTGAGTTGTTCGAATCCACCAACAGGTCTCAGCGAGGAAGGTAGATTTAGATTTACAGCCCTGGGAGCCGAATGGAGGGTCACTCTGAGTCAGACTTAATGACAGTGAACTTTCAGACACCTTTTAAAATTTGATAATGAGCTTAAATATTGACATGCCAGCTGTTTCCATTTTGACATGATCTTTCTACTAAACTTGGTTTAACAGAAATAACTTCTAAACACGAAAACATAGAAAACCCATGCATTTGTGTGAAAATAAAACTAATAGATGCAATGATTGTCTTTGTTGATGTATTCCAGTTAGTCCAAACCAGAATGCAAGGCCATGCAAGAAGCCGTGTTCTCTGAGGACGTCTTGCTCCAACTGCACGAGTAACGGCATGGAGTGTATGTGGTGCAGCAGCACCAAGCGGTGTGTGGACTCGAACGCCTACATCATCTCCTTCCCGTACGGACAGTGCCTGGAGTGGCAGACTGCCACCTGCTCACGTGAGTGTTTGTTTGAAGGGACTTTTCACTCAGTAGGGGGATGTGTCAAGTCTCTCGGCTGGCAGAGGAACAAAGCACTTGAAGAAATTTAAAAGGATGTAAGAAAAATTATTATTGTCAGAGAGCTGAACAATGAGTAGGGATGATAGGAGGAGAATTGATGCCTTTGAGCTGTGGTGCTGGAGAAGAGTATTGGGTATACCGTGGACTGCCAGGAGAACAAACAGGTTTGACCTAGAGAGGGTGAAATCTAGCTGCTCCTTGGAGGCAAGGGTTCTGAAGCTTCATCTGACATCCTTTGGACCAGTCCTTGGAGAGGGACGTCATGCCTGGGAAGGTGGAAGGACAGCGCAGGAGAGGAAGACCTTGAATGAGATAGATTGACTCAGTGATTGGGGTAATGGGAGTAGGTGTGTCAGAGACAATAAGATTGGCACAGGTTAGAGCAGGGTTTAGGGCTTTTGTACATAGGATTGCTGTGAGTTGCAGGTGACTTGATGGCACATAACAACAACAGCAACAAATGGCTGGTTGTTCAAACCTACAGCAGCCCCAGGAGAGAAACATGTCGTAGTCTGCTATGTACATGTTGTTGTGTACTGTTGAGTCAGAACCAACCCATAGCTGACCCTCCAGTGGGTTTTCAGAGGGAGTTAATTGCACAGGAGGAGATTGTCTATCCTTCACCTGAGGAGTAGCTGGTGGATTTGAACTGGGCACCTATAGGAATGTAGCACAGGTTCTTACCACTAGGCCACCAGAGCTCCTCTTTAGGGAGCTTACTCTTTTAGGAGTTACTGTGAGTGGAATCAGCTGAATGGCAATCAACCTCCCCAGCAAGAAGACCTATTAATGCCATTAGTTTCTAATTTGTGTTTATACCATGATTTGGAATTACATTTATCATCTTACCCTAAATATGAACACTTCATCACATTTGTGTTCACCTGAATCCTAGAAGTATGTTTTGTGGACAGTATAACACTTCATTAAAGTGCTCACTTTAATGTACTAAGCGTAGTTTTGTACTTTTTAAGTTGCTACTTAATTAAGTAGTTTCCTTGTTGTTTTGTTTTTCTTACAAAGCATTGATATCTTTTAAAAGAATTCACATCTGTTATTTTGCACATTTCTCAATTTAGATTTAGCTGTTTCCTAGCAGTTAGATAGTTAGATACAAGCTAAGTGTTTTTGGTAAGAGATATTATTGACAACATATGTTAGTTCAGCCCTTTACTAGGAAGTTATTTTGCTTCTGTTGGTAATGTTAAGCATGAACACTGTTGGCAGTGCCATCAACTAGATTTCCCCATTGAGTGGTAGTACTTTCCCCTTCTTTTAAGTGGTAAGCAGTCTCTGCGATGATACCTTGAAACCATGTGGATACCCCGTTTCCTGCATGTTTTTAGCTGATGGTTTTAGCAATGATAGATGCTCCATTACTTGACTTGTTCATTAATAGTATAAAATGGTGGTTTTCTAATTTTAGCTTTTGTTAGTTGGCAATTGTCTGTAAAAAAAACCAATGTCCCATTGTCCATGCTTCCTTCTTCTATCTTCATTTCTTTCCCTCCTCATTCCTCCTTTCTTCTCTGTGTTTCTAAATCATTGTGAAATATGAGACCACATAGTACTTTTTGATTTTTTTTAGGTGCTACAATCCATTTCACACCAGTTTTTGTTGCTGGAATTATTTGAGAATTGGTCAAGTTGGAACCTCTTTAGACTACTTACTTTTCCCTTTTAACATATTTCCAATGTAGTTTTTGAGTACTTTCTGCAAGAAACAAGTGTTTCAGTCTCTCTTGGTATTTCCCCCAAACCTGACATCAATTGTTTCTCCAAGGATTGTTTGTAGTTTTAAATGAAGAATGCAGTATCCATTTCTGAGAATTAGGTGAACTTTTATGTACTAAGTTGTCACTACTTCTAACCAGGTACTTTTAATAGTTAGTGATAGGTTATGTGTACTTAAACTCAGTCTAACTACACAGCCTTCTTTTTATTCTTCATATTTTTATGTTCATAACAATAAGTGCTGATTTTATTTTTCTCTGTGGCTTGGTTATCATTTTTTTTACAATATCCCACCAGCTCATTTATCTCCTCTTGATTCCTAGTGTATTGATTTTCTTTCCTTAAGAGCTGTCTCTTAGGGATTATTGCAAAAGAAATATTTACGTTAACCGTGGGGACATTTTACAGTCTCCTTTTTCCAGATCCCACCTATTTTTTCATTTGCTTATAATTCTGTATGAGTATAAAGTCATGTAATGTGCTTGTTAATGCCCTTATAATGCAGCTCAGAATTGTTCTGGATTAAGAACCTGTGGACAGTGTCTGGAGCACCCTGGCTGTGGCTGGTGCAATGATCCTAGTAATACAGGAAGAGGATACTGCATTGAAGGCTCGTCCCGGGGACCGATGAAGCTTGTGGGAACACACAGCAATGAGATGGTTCTTGACACCAGTCTTTGTCCCAAGGAAAAATACTATGAATGGTCCTTTATCCAGTGCCCAGGTAATGAAAGTACAATGTGAGTTTTTGATTATATTAACCGAGAAGAATTTTCTGTAGAATATAAGTTACCCAAAAAAGAACGAAAATCAGTTTCAAATTAAAAATATTTTCACTCTTCTTCCGTAAACTATATTAATCTCTCGTGTGAGTTGTATTCTCTTTAGAAACAACAACTAGACTACCTAGGTGCATGGATATAATTATTAGATAAGATTTCATATGAACTATTAAGAGGGAAAATATTCTCCCTTCAGTATAATATTTTATTCCTCAGAATATTAAATCCTATTGGAATCTTGGCAATTCAGAGAGCATGTAGTCAGCCTCATACCAATCAGGTATGAAAGTCTTCTTCCTAATATCTATGACATGGTTATCTGACCATATATTCAAAGCTGGCATTAGACTGACTCAGGAAAGGGCAGGCTTCAGAGCTGTTGTATGCAGAGTTGCTCTCAGTCGCAGGAGACTTGACAACACATAGGAACAACAACAACAACAACAGCATTAATTATCATTGTCATTCGATATTGAATGTCATTTAATTTTTCAGAAGCTCTCTTCTTAGGGAGTCTGTCCTCATACTGAGTCAAAAATCAAGCTTCTTAAGACATTAATTCATGCAATATATTTTTATTGAGTGTTTAGTATTTGTTAAAGAGTAGGTTTGATGCTAGAGACATAATAATGAAAAATTTAGACTACAATAGTTTACCCATGAAACTGATTTTCTAATTAAAATAAATACAATTACCTACACACATATGAACAGATAGTTATTTGTATCTGTGTATGTGCCATTCAAAAATAAAGCAAGAAAGGAGGAGGCAAATTCCCAAATCTCTTCTCAAATCCATTTTTGGGATTCTCTTTTTTCCTTTGTTTTCCATAACCTTTTTATGTTTAATCCACTTGATGTCTCATTCTATAAGTTAGTTCTTCATTTTCTTGATAAAGTTGTAAAGTTTTTAATTTTTCTTATAGTTCAGTTTATCTATTCTTTTCCCACTAGTGTCTTTGATTTCATATCTAAGATGCTTGTTATCCTAACATCATTGCCAAAATGAGGCCTGAAACTTTACGCCTGTATTTCCTTCACATAGTCTTATGGTTTTAGTTCTTGTATTTGGCTATTGAGCTGTTTGTATTTATTTTAGTGTATGATAGGAGATAGAATTGAACTGTATTCTTTTACATGTGGAGATCAAATTGTCCCAGCACCAGTTTGAGACATGGCACTCTTGTTCCAATCAGCTGACCATGATTATATGTATTTGTTTCTAAAATTTCAGTTCTATTCGACTGGCCTATCTATCCACTCTCTGGCCTATATACTTGTACTTACTGTAGCTTTATAGAATATTTTGAGACTGAGAAGCTCCTACTTGATTATTTTCCGAGTTACTTTTGAGTATTCAGGACTCTTATCCACCCTAGTTTGAGAATGAACTTTTTCATTGATGCCAGAAGAGTGTTTGGATTTTTCACAGGGTTTACATTGAATTTGCAGATCACTTTAAATATTATTGACCCCTTAACGATATAAAGCCTTCCCATTATGACTATGGGATGGATCTTTATTTGTTAAGATGGTTTAGAATTTCTTTGAGCAGTGCTTTCTAGTTTTCAATATATACGTCCCTCACCTCTTGGGTTAGATCTAGTCCTACTGCTTACCCACCCCCCACCCCCCACCTCCCCATTTGCAGATATACACCTTTTGATAGCAGTTACAATTAGCTGTTCAGCCTCTCATTAATCAATATGATCTTTTCATCACCGGTAACGTGTCCCTTTTCCCTCTTCCTCTTGCCCCTGGTGACCAACAATAAATAATGGCCTCTGTATTTGGCTTTTCTAGACTTTTTATATAAGTGAGGCCATGCAATTATTACCCTTTTGTGATAGGCTTATTTCATTCACCATAATGGACCTGAGGCATTTGATGCAGAAGGTCAATGATTGTAGTCTATGATATGGATTGCAGTTCAACATCAAGAAGACAAAGGTTCTCACCATTGCACCAGTTGGTATCATCACGATACATGGAGAAAAGATTGAGATCGTTAACAAAATTAGCTTGTTGGTTTCCATAATCGATACCATTGGGCACCAGTAGTCAGGAAATCAGAACACAAATTGCAGTGGGTAAATCTGCTGTCAGGGACTTCTCCAAAGTGTTAAAGAGCACCAGAGTCAGTCTGGAGGCTAAGGTGAGCCTCATCCAAGTCATGTTCTTTGCAGTTACTTCCTGTGCATCTGAGAGCTAGACAATGACTAAGGATGACAGTTGGATAATTGATACCTTTGCATTGTGGTACTGGAGAAGAGTATTGAACAAACCCTAGACTGCCAAGAGAACAAACATGTCAGTCCGGAGGCAAGAATCTTGAAGCTCTGTCTCACATACTTCGAGCATGTTGCCAGGAGGGACCAGTCCTTGGAAAATAATATCATGCCTAAAAGAGTAGAGGGACAGTGCAGGAGAGGAGGGCCCAGATGAAGTGAATTGGCACAGGAACTGGAGTAATGGGGCTAGGTGTATTGGAGACAATGAGACTGACTCAGGTTTGAGTGGGCTTCAGCTATATTGCACATAGGGTCACTATGAGTTGTAGGGGACTCTGCAGCACCTAACAGCAACAACAAAGACATCATGTTTTTAAGTTCCATCATACTGTGGTTTGTTTGAAAACTTCATTTCTTCTTCTGGCTGAATAGTATCCTCTTACCACATTTTCTTTATATATTATTTACCTAATAGACATTTGTTTTGTTTGTTTGGACTGTTGTGAAAATTGCAAAGTGCTGCAGTAAACGTTGGTGTACGAGTTTTGTAGTCTCTGTTTTCAAGTCTTTTGAGTACACCATCAGGAATAAAATAGCTGGGTCATATGATATCTATATTTTTAGTGTTTTGTGAAAAACAGTCATACTTTTCCACAATGGAAATACATGTGAATTCATATTTCTAGGTACTTTTTTATTTTAGGTACTATTATAAATGGAAGTTTTATTCGTTTCCTTTTCAGATTGTTCATATCTATTATGTAAGAAAAGGGAAATTTTAAATTAAAGATGCCCCCTGTGGATGGTATTCCTCAATTCTTTCATTAGAGAGTCAGAATGTAAAACCAAAAAAATAATAAGCAAATTTATGATTACCAGCTATCAACATCTATGACAAATCTGTAGTAATTAGTGTAGAATTGGTGCAAATATGGACAGACAAATGGGCCAGTGAAACATGATAGAGTTTCTAGAGACAGACCCACGCATATTGCCTGATTAATAACAGAGAACACTCTGGCACAGAACGGAGAAGTATGCAATGTGGGAGACTTGGAGTTTATGTAATCAAAATACTATTTTTATCCCCAAATGTTTGGTAGTATTTAACTGATGAAGACCTTTAACCCAGACTTTTCTGTGCAAGAAGTAATTTAACAACCAAGTCAAATTATTTAGTCGAAATGGGGCTATTTTAGTTGCCTAGTTCTCCTCCACGGAGCTCTGGTGGGTTAGTGGTAAGGAGCTGAGGTGCAATCCCAAAGGTATGTGGGTCAAATCCACCAGCTGCTCCGCAGGAGAAGAGCGGCATTCTCCTCCTTTGTGATTTACTGTCTCTGAAAACTGCTGGAGAGTCAGCTGTGAGTCATAGTGACGTGATGGCACACAGTGGCAACAGTTTTCCTCCAGTGAGTTTGGAAGTTTGGGTTTTTCCTCCAAAGCATTTGTCCCTTCCATCTAAAACGTTGCTGGCATTGAAAAATAGTAATATTATTTGCCATATCTTTACTAAGTGTAGAACCTTTGGTAACATCCCTTCTTTAAATACTGACAATTTTTATTTGCCTTGACCAGCCTGCTAGAAGCTTGTGAATTTTCATTGATTTTATGAGCAATTTGTTGAATTGATTTTTCTATTCTTTTTCCACTTTTTCATTTGTTATTTAAATTTTTTCTTCCTCCTCTTCACATTATTTATTCTTCACTGTACTTCTTTTCTAGCCATTTAAAGTGGAAACTTAGATAATTAACATTCTTTCTTTATAAACAGTTTTATAAAATTTTCTCTAAATCAAAATCTAAGTGATTTTGATTAGTATTTTTATGATACGTCTTTTGCCATCATTTAACTTTATCTATGCCTTTGTATTTAAAATATGTTCTTATGGATAGCACATTGCTAGGTTTTGCTGCTTAACCCAATTTGACAGTCTACCATTAAATTAGACAGTTTGGACCATTTTAGACAAATGTAATTATCAATCTGGTTTGGCTTAAATTGACCATCTGCTTATTTGTTTTCCATATTTCCCATCTGTTCTTTGTTCCTATTTACATCTTTTTCTGTCCTTCTTTTGCTTTATTGAACATATTTTATTGTTTCCTTGTTGAATTTATTGATTTTTCAAAATATTTCCTTTTTTGGAGGGTGATTGTTGTAGTTTTTACAGCATACATCTTTAATTTACTACATTTTACATTTAAATAATATTATGCTTCATGTATAGTGTAACACTCTTCCCTCCCCCTCTCCCCACCCCGTTTTCATAGCATTTTGAAATGAAAGTTTACTAGGGTAATTAATTTTGCATTCAACTGTTCATACACATTTTGTTTTATTACATGAATGATAATCTCTATAGTATAACCTCACTCTTCCCACTTCTTCCCTGAGATTCGTATTTCCATTAATCCTTCTATCATACACCTTAATGCCTTTGGAGTTTATTGCTGGATAAATGCCATCCTTTTGGTCATAGGTGGTTGATCATTCCATGACATGAGTCTTACTGTTTAACGTAGTATGAGACCCACAGTACATTTATGTTGTTTTAACTTTAAATGTTAAATGATATTTTAAATACATTTAGAAAATAAAGAGACTCTTAACACCTGGCAAAATGGTGACTAAAGTGGCCAAGTGTATGATATGTCCCAGTCTAGGTCATTTCCCAGATGCAAGAGTTTTAGTACTAAAATAGGTTAGTATTTGGCAAAATGATAGGGCAGGGTCCAGACTCATTGTTGGTAGGTTTGCCATGAGTACCAGTAGTCGACTTGACAACACATAACAACAACACTGACTCAATTTATTTTGCTGCTTAAAACAAGTAAGAAATAGGACAGATGTAAATCAGCAGTTACCATTATACTGGATCTTAGTTAATGAAGGATAATAATTACTCCTCAGAGGTAGAAATACCCAAGGAGGGCCCTACCACTATGCCAGATTAATACCTGAGGAAAGTTTGCATGAAACAAAGGTGCGGAGATGTAGGTAATGTTTGGTGGGCAGGTTGCGCTGAGGTGGAGCTGGAGGTCTGGGTAGGTCATGATGAATCACCTGGTTTTCTGAGGAAGAATAGCAAAGACCCTTCAGCAAAGAACTGCTGAAGGGTCCCCCGTCAAGTCTTCTGCTAAGTACTGTTAAGGCCTGATTGTAGGAAACAGTGTGAAAGAGAACAATCGCTATATTACATGAAGTGCTGTGAAAAGTGCCTGCTTGTAGCATCGAGACGGGAGAAGCTCATTATTCACTGGCAATCAGATTGTGTACTCAGAGAGGCTTTTTTCATTTGTGTGGGAAAATCAGCCCCAGTCAAAATCCTACACTGGTTCTATGGAAAACAAACAAACAAACAAACAATCCCAACAAAAAACAACTTCAAAGTGAGAACATAATGATCAAAAGGTTTCCAATTAACCACATCCTAGGACAAAACTGAAGACTATTTATAGAAATACAGAACTACCCAGCGCCCAAAAAAGTGACGTGAACAATTTGTGTTGCCTGGCATCCGGTCAAAAATTAGCAGGTGTGCCAAAGAGCAGGACCTGACAGACCCCAGTGCCGGGCAGTGCTGCTCCACCCTGAGGGACCACCGCGGGTTGGAAGTGACTCAAGTCATTGTGTGTTGTAGGTACTAGGATGACCCTCTGTTAAATGGATTGACAAGGACCTCAGTGATGGGCTCAAGTGCAGCAGATGTTGTGAAGCTGGTATAAAATTGGGCAGGTTACATGCAGGTCACTCATAGGTCACAGGGAATCAGGGCCATGTCAGTGCCACCGGACAGGAGTTTGCATTTATGAATTTTCCTCCTAATTTGTAGATTTGAGGTTTTGTCAAAACATTATAGCAAAATCTTGGAAAGACAGAATCTGTAAGAGGAGGAAACGCTAATAGTGACAGAAAAGGGAGCACTGGCCGTGGTAATAGCTGCATTGCAATCCTGAAGGAATGCGGTTTGAACCCACCCGCTGTTCTGAGGGAGAAGGATGGGCAGTCTCCTCCTGTGTGATTAACTGCCTCTAAAAACCCACTGGAGGGTCAGCTATGAGTTCTGACTCGACGGTACAACAAAAACAACAATAACAACAACAACAGTGATAGAAAAGTGGTAAAATGGCACTGTGTCAAAGGTTGGATACAAAATCTGGAAAAGCCAGGTGTTTCAGTCTAGTTCTGGCTTCCGTAGATTTCATTGTACCATGAACACATATAACTCAGAGATACCTTCAGCTGAGTCTGATTTTCTTTAGTTCAAATTGAAATAGGATTTTAGCGAAGTCGTGAAACTGGCTCAAATAAGATTCTACCCAGTTTACGCAACTGAATTTGAAAGGGCTATTTCTGTTACTTTTTTTTTTATATAAAATTTTTATTTTATATTGGTTTACTTAGAAAGTTCATATACATTGTATTTCTGTTACTTTTATTACAGATTTGTTTTCTTGAAGTAAGGACTTATTGGCTTACAATTTTTTGTATTTGTTAACTGTTGCTTGCTTCGTCCTTTATCAAACGTATAATTTAATCTTGTGTTTATAAAATTTAATAAGAATTCACATGAATCTTTAAGAACTATGCTAAAAGTTCCTCTTTACTCTATCTCCAAACCTTGAATTTCATGTTGTTGTTATTATGTACCATGGAGTCAGAACCAATACCCATCTGACCGTCCAGTGAGTTTTCAGATGCAGTAAATTACATGGAGATTGGCCATCATGGAATTTCAATACACATCTTATTTGAGTGTCTTGTGCTAGTATTTCAAGCCACATTCTTTATACCTTTAACTTTTTGTAGGAAATACATTTTGAATGTTTGCTGCTCTCTGGATTATTAAAGTGTTTTGTCTTGATGGCTCTTATACTTGATATTAATATTTGATCTTTGTAACTGTGTTTACTCTTTTTCCCCCTAGCTTGTCAGTGTAATGGACATAGCACGTGCATAAATAATAATGTATGTGAGCAGTGTAAAAACCTCACCACGGGAAAGCAGTGCCAAGACTGCATGCCTGGTTACTACGGAGATCCAACCAATGGCGGGCAGTGTACAGGTAATGAAGGGCTCCCGGGCGTCGGTGGATTTTGATTGCATGAAAATCCTCCAAGCTTCTTTGTTTCCTGAATTTGACAAATATATTGCCTTGTTGTCTATGGTGATGTGATAGATGAAAGTTATTTTTACTTTTTAAGACCTCATTATCCAATTAAATAACAGTATCCCATAGTTAGTGAATTATTCTTCTTGCGATAATGAACTAAAAACAGTTTGTATAGTCTGGAAAGCATAGATGTAGTACTATTTCTCCATTTTCAGTTCACCTTACTGAGAAAAATGAATATTAAGCTCATGTATTTATTAACAACCAAAATCCATTAGATTGTTTAGAGAGATTTTTTAAAAAAATAAAAAATGATTTCTTCACATTTCAGTTATTTCTAAAACATTCTAATTATAATTAAGTTATAAGTTAATTTTTTTGAGCCCCAAGTTATCTTGACTTTTCTTTTTTTCTAATACTACCCTTAATAAGACCAATGAGAGAGAGAGCTCTGTTGGCCTAGTGGATAGAAAGTTATGCTACCAAGCCAATAGTGGGTGATTTTAATCTGCAGTTCTCAGGCCTGGTTTGAATTGGTTTTGGTCAAACATTCTTCTAAGTAGTAGAACATTGATCTGTCCATTTGCTGTACAGAGGTAACTTGTGTTTGCTGTGATGCTAAACACTGTGCCATTGATGCACCAAATGTGGTAATGATTACCCACGGCAGACAGTGTTTGGTGGAGCTCCCCGACTGAAACAAGCTTCGAAGCAGGAGTGGCATCCACTTCCGTAATAACTTGCCTCCGGAAACTATGAACTTGGAAAAATGATGGAAGTTATACAAGTGTTCAGGTCTTTCGTTCGTAGGGTTGCTATGAGTCATCTACAACCCGATGGCGCTTAACAACAACCACCACAACCCTTAAAGATGTAGTCATCTAGATAAGTATAAGCTTTTGGTTGTAATTGAATGAAAATGTAACTTCTCTGTAATTATTCATTAAATCACAATTAAAATAGAATTTTATTTTTTTAATGAAAGAAAGTTCTTTTAAGAACTAAAACAAGTTTGCACTGACTGACTTTTGCAAGTAGATTGCTAGCCCTTTCTTCATTGTTTTGGTTTGGTCTGAAAGCTCCCCTGGCACCTGATTTGCATCCTAGCAGCGCAGAAGCCTCCACTAACCAGTGGTGTGGGCACATGAGGCGCATTCACTGAGAATCGAACCTGGGTCTCCAACATGAAAGGTGGAGTTTTGCCAATGAACCACTACTGTCCCTAGGAAATGTATTTGTTATGGATGGTGGGTGGGGCTTTCCATATTTAGATATTATTTTTTAAAATTTGACTTTCTAAAGCATCCACTTCTGAAATGGCTTGCCTCTGGAAACTCTATGTACCAACAGTGCTCAGGCTGTTCGTTCATAGGGTCGCTATGAGTCGTCTATGACTCAATGGCATCAAACAACAACAACAAAGTTAGTCTAGTAGTATTGTCAATATTATATAATTATACTTGTGGATTTTCTTCAGGTTAGTTTTAGACTTGCCCTACTTAGACCTGTTTTGTTATTAACTATTAAATTTCTCATTAATATTCAGGGTCATAGTCAGCAGACTTCCCAGTCCATATCCTGGCAGTATCACTGCCACCTTGGATAGATTTTGTTAATCTCATTGTTCTTTTCTGGAAGATGACTTAGATTAAATTTGAACTCTATACAATTATACACACTGCCATCAAGTCAGTTCTGATTCATAATGATTCTGCATCAGATTTCTGAAGCAGGAAATCGTAATGGAAGATGACTTCCTGTCTTTCTCTGATGGAACTGCTGGTGAATCTGAACTGCTGAAGATATGAGACCTTTCAAAACCTTTGAAATGAAGCAAAACACGACTCACTGTGGACTGTGTCAGCAGGGACCAGTAACAATTTGGAGAAATTGTAAACGTGTAATTCAGATTTCCTTGGCACTATTGTTTTTTCTTATTATCTGCGATATAACTTTTGAAGTAACAGAAAAGAAATAAACTTTTATGTATTAGAATAATGGTCAATACACTACAAAGATAGTACTTTATAATGAAAGATTATGCATGAATTCAGCAAATACTGCTGATGTGGTATTACTTCAAATAAGAGGAAATAGGCACGTATATTCATTAATAATTTGACTAGGGATAGTATTAAGTTTAAGTACAGAAAAAATTGGAAGTCATGAAAAGGAAATGAGACACATAAACATTGGTATCATTCATAATGAGTTGTGCTGCTAATAAACCAAGTGCACGACTCTGGTGGTTCGAATCCACAAGAAGCTCTGTGAGATAGAGATGGACAGTTTCCTCCAACTACTGTCATTTACAGCCCCAGAAACATAATGTAGGGCTGTTAAGGGTCATAGCCCATCCAACAGCAGTGGGTCTGAGTGGCTTTTTGTTTGTTTGTTTGGTTTTTGAAGCATTGCTGTTGTTGTTGGGCGCCATTCAGTCTACTATGACTCATAACTATCCTCTGAGTGATGATCTGAACCCTGCCCTATCCTGTACCATCCTCATCCTCTCTGCCTCACTTAAGTGCATTGTTTTAGCCACTGTATCACTCTATCTTGCTGAGGTTCTTTCCCTCCTTCACTGATGCTCCACCTTTCTGGGCATGATGTCCTTTCCCAAGGAATAGTCCTTCTTTGAAACATATCCAGAGTATGTGAGACTAAGTCCCATTACCCTCTACAAGAAGCATCTTGGCTACACCCTCTCCAAGATATTTTTAATGGTTCTCTTGTCAGTCCATGGACTATTTAGTACTCTTTTCTAGCATCACAACCCAAAGGCATCACTTCTTTTGTCATCTTTATTCACTGTCCAACTCTCAGATGCATAGCAGGTAATTGGAAAGACCATGGCTTGGATCAGGCCCGTCTTATATTTTTCTGACATCCTTGCTCTTAAGCACTTTGGAGAGATCTCTGATTGCAGAATTTCCCAGTGCAACATGTTTTTTTATTTCCTCACTGCTGATTCAAGGTTGTTGATTGTAAATCCAAGTAAGATGATTTGAAATGAACTGTTGGCATTGACTGTATACTATACCAGAAACCACGACTGAAGAGGAATGGGGTCACATTTTTCATCAAAAAGAAAGTTTCAAGATCCATCCTGAAGCAATGATTGGATCTGTAGGGAATTCAGTTAATAAGACTGTTAGTCAAACTTATACACTAACCACTGATACCAATAATTAAGAAGTTAGAGACTTTTCCAACCTCCGCTGTTTGAAATTGAGCAAACATGCAAAAAATCTTAATTAATAATTATTAGTGATTGGAATAAGAAAGCTGAAAGTAAAGAAGGAGAATTGGTGATAGAAATGATTCCAGAGATGGCATGATGGCTTTTTGCAAGACTGTGACCTTTTCATTACAAACATCTTTCAGGCAATGTGAACGGTGACTGTAAGTGTAGACCTTACTGGATGGAATAAACAGGAGTAAAGGAGACTATACTATCAAGTTGGAACTGACTAGTAACTGAGCATTTAGTGACTAAAAATCACGTAAGAAGAAATTGCCCACCCTTCTCCTGTGGATTTCTGGTGGATTCAAACCACAAGCCAGATTAATAGCAAGACACAATGCCTCACTTAGTTCAAATAGCTTCTCAGTCAACAAGTGAATGTTCAGGTTCAGTCCAGCAACAAAAACACAAGAAACTTCTGGTTTACTCAGTCACCTAGAAAACTTTACCTGATAGCAGTTGCGAGTCAACTGTTCTTTTAGTTATTCAGCAAGCAAAATCTTTAACTCTGGTTGCATCTCCAGGACTGAGTCAGGATACACCTTGCAGAGTCTCACCACGGTGTGACCAGCTCTCCCTCTTATGTTGATCCCACAGCTGTTGGTGATGTAGAAGATGCTGATAACAGTGTCTACCGTGTATCTGCAGTTGAGCGGCAGGAGATCACTGCCCCCAGGGGGGTTAAGGGAATAGCTAGAAAAACTGTTTTCAAAAGTCCTCACTGTATATCATATGTGAAGAAACCAAAAAGTCATTAAAAAGATGGGGAGGAAAGACAGAAATCAGTATGTAGAGTCTCTTAAGTGAATAGAAGAAATGATGATGCGAAGAACTGAACAAGAGGAAGATTGGAGGAGAAAAGCTGAATAGATTTCAAAGGTAACTTGGAAAGAAACTGTAATGTACTAAAATATGCAAAGACCTAGAGTTAGAAAACGAAAAAGAACATATTTAACTTTTCTCTGCTAAAGGACTAAAGGCGGAAAAAAGAGTCTTGAATTGTAATACTTCAGGAATCTAGGCAGAAAAAATTCAATGATACATGAAGCATCAAAACAAGATGGAAGAAATACACAGTCACTAAACCAAAAATAATTGACTGATTTTCAATTCTCTCAGGAGGTTGCATATGATCAAGAACCAACAATCTTGCAGAAAGAGGTCCAAGTTGCACTGAAGGCTTTAGCAAAAAACAAAGCTTCAAGAATTGACATAATGTTTGAGATATTTCAGTAAAGAAATGCAATGCTGGAAATGCTCATTTTTCTATGCTAAGAAATTTGGAAATCAGAAACATGACCAACTGATTGGAAAAAAAAAACAAATCTATGTTTCTGACCACTCAAAAAAACCTTCGTGATCCAACAGAGTGTGGAAATGATGAAGCAATATCATTAATATTGTTGTCGTTAGGTGCTTTGAGTCAGCGGACCTTGACTTCTAGGAACCCTAGGTTCAGCAGATGGGAACTGTGCCAATCTTGTGTCGTCCTTACAATCAGGGCTGTACTTCACCCACGGTTGCATTCCCTGTCTCAATCCATATCATTGACTGTTTTCTCCATAACTAACCGTCTTCTTAGCATGATGCCCCTTCCCAAGAACTGACCCTTCTTAACACCATACCCAATTTATATGAGACAAAGACCCACAAGTTTTGCTTATAAGGAGCACTCTGGCTGCACTACTTCACAGATTTGTTTGTACTT